AACCCTATCGCCGTTTACTTTAGCATTCTTTAGACAGCAAGATTCTAACAATGAAGTAGATGGCAAATCTCGGATATTTGCGCGCTGGACTTTCAAGTTCTTTAATCATTACTTCGCGAAAAAGTTCCACTCCAGCCCTAAAAAAGCACAAAAATGTGACATGAGAGGTTTGTGAGCTAATAAGGTAATAAAATACGAGACTATCAGTTTGTGATAATGGTGGAGCTTACAGTAATAGCTCGTCAATTAGATGCTAAGATATCGAAAAACACTATAAAACGTTGCTTAAAATGGGGTGGTCTGGAGAATTTGGTAGCACTAAATGAAATATCATCGACCACCTTCACGCGTCAGCTAGTTTGTAACCGCCTGTATGGCAGCCTGAGGCAAAATAGAAAATTCCATAGTATGACCGAACGGCAGAGAGTGTGATTGAATGAGTTCTGGTACGGTTTATCTGATCTTTTGTTAAAAGGTGCTAGAAGGAATAAATAGGGAAAAAGGGTAGACCACTTTGCGTCCGTATAAAAGAACAGTGAACATAAAGCTGAACAAAATGCTCTACTAGACTTCCATAGAACACGGACACATAGCGGAGAATATTCTAAAGTAGAAATCACCCTTCTGGCACAGGAATCTGGAATTTCATCTCTTATGACGCTGAAGCATTCTGGATAAATTCCAGGGATCCAAAAATGGATCGCAGGGAGAAATGTCTCATTATCACACGAGATCTCACACAATATCTTGGAGTAATATTTGAACGCGAGAAGACCTCATTACCCATCTTCTTGAGCAACGAACAGTTGGTATGCTCTGTAGAAGACTCACAGAGAGCGGTTAGTGTGTGAGGAAGGTGTTTTGTTCTCAACGCGGTTGAAATCTAGGTATAGTGGTCTTTCTACTGAGGTTGTGGAGGCGTTTGGCTGCCTGGATTGCAGTTAACTTGACCTTTCCAGAATCTGAAGAAAGCGAAATCCACCGGAACGTTAGCTTTTGTGAATAAATGCTGTGTAATAGTTCCCAGGATCGACTTTCTATTAACCTCGGCACTGGAATATGAACGCGTCGTTTTCTTGTTCAGCGATCGCGAGGTTTTAAAACAGCATACATTTACTTCCATAAAAAACACAATACAATACAACGCTAGCTGACGTTTCGGCAGTATCGTCTTCTTCAGAGCCTGGAAGGGTATACTGATATACAACAATCTACTAGGCCAAACGCTTCAATAACACTTACAAAAAGACGAAAAACTCTTTGGTAATTACATGATCAACAGCTTCTCGAAACACTCACCGCTTTTTACGTGACTTCCAATTAGGAAGAATAGAGCAGCTGATTATAGTCGCATATGGTTGACAACTGCACCATCCCACACCAAAAATCGATGCCAACATACGGGATCAGGTCGCGTATGACCTCCGGGCATTCATTCCTGCTATTCATTGTAAGGTTTTTGGCATTTATCCAAAAAGCCTCAAGAAGTTTTCGCGCTGGTGTTTTGGACTCCTGTGCAAGGATATTGACTTTTACTTCAAAATCGTCTCCGCTATGCTTTTATATCCTATACGTGCCTAGTGGGGTGCTTCGTCTTAGTTTTCGTTTGCCATCTAGGTGTTCTTTGTAACTGTAACCATATTTATGCTTATTAGGAAAAAACCGTGTTAGTTAATCGTCTCATTCAACTGCATACTTCTTTCTTTATCCTTGTTTTCATTAAGAGTCTGAGCTAAGCTTAAAAGCGATTATAGGTTTCTGGAGAAGTTTGTTTTCCAGCATAAACTCAATGTCGTTTTTCTTTCCATATCTAACAGTCGTCTCTTTTTTCTTACCTTTCAATTTCTTCATTTCCTTTTTTCGTTCTTCCGTTGTTTTCTATCGATCTATTTGTCATTTTATCCATGTGGTTTGTTCGATTGAACCAAATAAGGTTTTATTAATACGCTTCCATCGATAGAGATGACGACCTTCAATTGAACATTTCCACTAGTTACTATTATATTCTGCGCAAGGGAGGAATTGCGATCCATATTAGTAGCTGCAAGGTAGCGTACACTTTCTCCATTTCACTAGCTGCGAGGGATTAAATGCTAACCAACAGCGACCTTGCATTTGCCCTCAGATGAAGGAAATACAGCGTCCATGTTTCTGCTATACGGAAGATTGACATATACCTTATGTTTGTACAGAAACGTATTCCTGTATGTGTGCATGGGTGTACTTGGGTGTTTATGGATAGTATCGTACTCGTTAGCTCAGCTGATTCAACAGAATGTCAAGTAGATGGGAATCGCGTTTCACAAGCTGCCTTCACATCTGTTGTTAAAGAACCGAACGAGATACCCGCATTTACATCCTCTCTAAAGCATCTGTGTAGCACAGTGCTGAGAGGTACGTTACTGTAAGCATTACTTCGTTAGCTCAATCATTCGCTTCGGTTAAGGCAAGTTCTTTATCCTTCCAGAACGACAAACTGGTACCAGACATATGTCTGGGAGAATAGCAGCACCAAGTTGATACATCGATGGCCCAAAAATGTATTAAATCATCCTGTCGATCCTCAAAGGGACGAATGTATGGACATATCACTTATAGTCTGTTAAATTTTATCACTTTACTCTTTATTCTGTTCGTCAATTCAATTCATGGCGAGCCACCAACATGCTATGATGAGGTAAATAGGTGATTCGGAGTTGTCTTCAACAAGCCAGTTTCCTACTTACTACGGTGAAACTTGGCAGGAAGTCTCCGTCGTTGCCGTTTCGGTAAAAACTCTAGAAATAATGGTCCTCTTACTAAATTCTACCGAATCTGCGATTGTTCGCTGTGAGTGAAAGTGGAGCAAATTGGGCGCAACCGATACGTATGATGCGTAACTGAATTGAATGGAGGAAACTTTACTAGTTCATCCACTCGTCATCCAGTTGATGGAACTCGGATTCAATGAGGTTAAAAGTGACAGATGAGTGATGATGGGTGAGAGGTGATACTATTGGTGCTCTATTTTCTTCCTTACTCCAAGAAAAAAAAAAAGAAAATGAACGGAGTCCGCCATCTTGTGGTAGACGTGAGACAGACAACAGTATGAAGCGCTGAGATATTTGCAAAACTCCGGACCACAGGTGTATGCAGTGGGGAACGAACACGCGCTGTTGTCCTTACCGGGGAGCAGCGCACTTCACCACTGCACTATCCGGGTCCTTCGCTTTGCCTGTACCTCAGCTAGTTCTATCAATCTTTTTGCCATCAGCAATCACCCGTCAACGGGATTGATCTGGGGAGCCAATATAGAACTAGCTGAGATACATGAAAGCGAAGGACCCGAATGGTGTAGTGGTGAAGTGCGCTGCTCCCCGGTAAGGACAACAGCGCGTGTTCGTTCCCTACTGCATACACCTGTGGTCCGGAGTTTTGCAAATATCTCAGCATTTCATACAGACAACAGTGTTGAAATTCTCGGTATGTTTGTACAGAGTGAAATGCGGTACTTAGGATTCATTTATAATCCGCTTATTTCTATCCATTCTATTCATCTGCATCATCTTTTTTTTCTTGTGCAACTCCCTCATTTACAGTCTTTTTAGTTTTCGTCGACTTTTTCTTTTTTCTCTCCGTCTTTTTTCGTTTTCGAGTCAATTTCTCTGTTTCATAGTTCAGGTTACATTTGCTGTGCAATCAGATCGAGTTCAAATATGCTTTTAGTTTTCTTCTTTCTTTGCGAACTACTCACCAACATCGACACGCGTGCCTAAATCCTCATCGTTAATGAGGCTTATTTCGAGTCTTCTCAGTGTTAAGGTATGGATTGCCCTCATAAGTGTTTCTTTTATATAAAGGTTTGGTATCTTGCTGAAATATGCCGAAAATACCAATGTGTGTGACGTACACTCCCGTATTGATCGAATCACCGTGGCAATCAATACTCTGCTTTTATCGCGCTCATGTACTGAAGTGTGACCTCATCGCAACGTTTCCGGAACTTGCGACATAGTGTTTTTTGCCATTTCTTATTTATAAACAAAAACTCATATAATGTTAGCTTTAGGGGCGGATAGCACAGTGGTAGTGATCTCGGTTATCACTAGCATGGTTGTAGTTCGATTCCGCGTTGGGTCGACCAGGCCTCTTATCCCTCTGGAGTCGTGAAATTGGTACCAACTTCGTCCGGGAAAAGTCACTCTCAGCTATTCAATTGGGAACGCTCTAGCTTGGCTATTTAAGGACACCAGGGAGAATCGACTCAACTAGCATTCTTCGACATTCAAGATGAAATGAAAATCCCCAAGTAGCAAGCGAAGCATCACGTAAAAAATTGGAAGATCTTCTTGGATGATGCATGCGCGAAGACGAATCGAATATGAGAAATGGCGGGATTCGCACAGTAGACGTGAAGACGGGTCATATAAAATTGAAGAAGTTACCTTTTGTCAAGGAATGGATGAGAAACAGTAATGAAGAATTATTTGTCTCTGTATGACTAACTAGCATTTCATCCGAACACTTCTCTTCGTGTTGAGCACGTATTGAAAAAAAATCAAGTTTTTATGGTTGCTTAATTTTTTTCGCATCACTTCTCCCTCTACTCAGTTCACTTCTGACAAGGGTTACATTTGAAAACTGTTAGAGCTTGGGGTCATAATTATTCACAAAAAGCGGGCTCTTCAGCGTCAACAAAAATAAAAGCTAAGCTTTTGCAAAAAGGCAGACAACTGTAACGTTGTAATGTGGAAATATTTCACAACGTAGGGAATTTCATGTCGAGATCCTCCTGTGATACTACTGACATTTCTCCAGTACCGAGCTCAAAAAAGATATTGTACTTAGTAACTTGTCAAAGTCTATACTGTTTCTTTAATGGAGACTTTACTTGTTTTGTCATAGTTTAATTACCGTATTTTTGTGTCTGTCCTGGAAACGCGCTGGAAATCTGCTAGCGTTCTCTTCTTCCTTTTTCTTTCAATATTTTATCAACGAGGCTTTAGAGAAAATCTTACAGCATGTGGTTCGAAGAACGTAGTTGGTCAAATCTTCGAATGTCAGAGTTGGTAGAGGAATGGAGAGATCTTTGGTCTTTCAAGGTGATTCAAAAAAATTTAATTCGGATGGTATTATTTATCATTAAATGAATTAAGTCAAATTATTATTATTAAATTAAATTAGATTAAAATTAAATTTTTAAATTGAGATTAAACTATCAAATTAAACTGGATTATTGAATTATTGAATTATTTATTCAGATTATATATTTATTCAAATTATTTTATTTGAATATGTGATATAACAATATAAGAATAATATAATATAGTACTAATTTATATTTTATATCTATTTTTTTGTATATTATTTTGGTATATGGTAATATACAATATTTATAATATTGGTATTATTATTTTTAGTATTATTTGGGCTATTAAATTACTTATTCGGATTATATATTTTTCGAATTATTTATTTATTTTTTATTAATTATCCAAAATTGTTTTGTTACTATTGTAATGCTGAGATATTTGCAAAACTCCGCACCGCAGACACCTGCGGTGCGGAACGAACGCGCTATCGTCCTTTCCGAGGAGTAACGCGTTCACCACCACATCATGCGGCTCCTTCGTTTTGCCTGTCTCTTAGCTAGTTCTATCGATCTTTTGCCATCAGCAATCACCCGTCAACGAGACTGATCTGGGGAGCCCAAATCGGCATTGAACCCAGTTAAGCTGAGGCTAACGGCACTGATCGATAGAACTGGCTGAGAGACAGGCGAGGCGAAGGACCCGCATGGTGTGGTGGTGAACGCGTTATTCCCAGGAAAGGACAATAGCGTATTCGTTCGCCACCGCAGACACCTGCGGTTCGGAGTTTTGCAAATATCTCAGTATTACAATAGTTATATTTTGCAAAATACCCTGCCGTTAACAAGAATAGGCAGTAAATAAAAAGCTTAAGATTGTTTTATTATTACTATTCAAAATTTTATTTCTGAAATGCTACTTGTATTTTTCGTAAAAGTAACTTGTCTAGGTGGATTTTCTGGTTGTGGCAATATCGTATGTGTTTGCGACAACTAATTTTTTGAATTTTCCGAAACTTACGCTAGAAAACGGAGGACGTGAGTGGTTTTCTATATTAATATTAGTGTAAATATTTGAGGTGATTTTTGTTGGAAGGAACTCAACTAATTGATTTGGGTTTCGTATTTTTCCTCTTAGCTGCTACAGTCTTTAGTTGCATTTGTTGCCGCTTACGGTGTTGCTCTTCTTGTGCTCGTTTTACCGACAATCGTTCTTGAACTAGCTGTTGGTCAACTAACTGGGCGAGCTCCTGTACAAGGTTTCTACAATCTGTCACCGGTATTCAAAGGTTATTTTTTTATGATAAGAGATCGTATATGTTTTTTATCGTCTTTGGATTTCTTTTCGGGTGTTTCCACTGTATTTTTATAAAGAAAAAAATATGCAGGTGATTAATTGTTGTATAAAGATTTTATCGCGGAGGAGCGCGTGTAACACAGTGGTTAGAGATGCCCTGAAATACACATGGGCTCATTTCCACGCCCACGCTCGCCAAGCCTTACATCACTCCGGGTTCGGCGAATTGGTGCGAGCCCTGGCTGCGAAGATAGCAGCGGTGACTTGATGTATCGGAGACCATCGAGAGTCATTGTAAAGGCCAGATATGTGTTCAATCACCTCCAACGATACTTAATGAAGTCGAGTGCGTGGTGCATCCCTCAATGATTGACCAACGCCGAGTGCTTCATTCTTTTTTTTATTTTTAAACAGACTTTATCACATTAAACGTAATTGATTGTTCCTGCTCTCTCCAAGTAACTCTGAAGTTGTGAAGCTCTTTTTTTAAATTTGCAGCTCGAGTAGCGCAGTCGTAAGAGGTGCACCGCGTTATACTCGTCACCCATGGGTTTAGTCTCACAACCATAGCTTTACACTCATGCGGAGTTAGAAAATTGCTGCAAGCATTTTTGTGCAGGAGGGTATGAACTGATTTAATAGGTCGGTATTTTCCCAAAAGTAATTATCTAAGGAAAGTATGCATTTAATCGCTTCTACGATGTTACGAATGGAGTCGAATGCGTGGCGTTCCCCAACAACTTTTATGCTTATAACCTCCCTTTTAACATGTTTTTACGAATATACACCTTTAGCTATTGTATTGTTTCTCAATCCAGGCTTAATTTAGGGATTGGAATATCTCAAATTCTCTTCACATTACTAGTGTTGGCGACGATGACACGATTTATTGGATGGTTGATGTTGTTCTTATATTATCTCTTCTGGACTGTTCAAGCAGATCGACCTGGTAGTGTAGTAATACACATCGGACATTGATTTCTTTGTAGTAGATTTCAGATTTGAAGAAGAATTTCTCGTTTCGATCTAGGTTTACCGTGGCTGAACTGCAAATACTTTCCCGAGTTTTTGTCAGCACCCTGCCGAGATGCTGGATCGATGGCAAATTTTACGCTTGCCGCTCATACTAAGCTAAGTACCGTACGATCGGAAAGCTCCTTTATGCAGTTCATGAGGTGATTTAGTCTTCCGTTCGATAATTTCTTTATCCTTGTTATACTACGTTCATCATCTAACATATTTTTCTTACTCTATCGTTTAGTTTTTCGTCTGTTTAGGAATTTTTTCAAAAAAGAGGAATTATATAATTTTAGTGCACTGGAAAAGCCATCGGCTTCTATCAGCGACTTTGGAGACTTTCAATATAATCTGCTTATTGTACAAGGTCTAGTGTGGATCATTGTATTCAGTAGTATTTGTTTCGGTGTGAGATGGCTTGGAAAGGTTTGTGAAAAGCTACGTAGTATACGACCAGTATAATCGGTAGTGCTAAGGAATTTTCCGTGTGTATTACTCTATTATGGCACAACCTACACATGACCAATATTTAGTTTAACTTTTTTCAAATCACAAGAATGCTGGTATACGTGCCAAACTAGGAACCTCAATTGCGCATCGAACCTGCGATTACCCTTTCCGGGTACTCACGTGTTATCAACTGGACAAGCCGAAGTCCTTTGCTTTGCCTTTCTCTCAGCCATTTTTTTACACTAACGGTGCTGTCAACAATTATCTGTCCAAGAGGAATGATCTGGGAAGCACAAATCGGCATTCAATCCGGTGTAGCTGACGCTACAGGGGAAATCACAATGTCTTAACTATTGAAAGTTAAGATATTATTTTCAAATTTTTGTTGAAGACTTTGGTTTGAGAAATTGCACTGTAGCTTTTCATGTTATTGTTCTTTTTACTTAATTCTTCGTATTTTTGTTGAGCAAACGCGAGGCGTTATTATTCTTTATTCACGAATAAGCTGACGTTTCCCCGGATTTCGCCTTCCTCAGAGCCTGGAAAGGTCAAGTTGATAGCAATCTATTCGGCCTGACACCTCCATAATTAAACAAAGAAACTCTAAACCAAGATTTCAATCACGTTGAACACAGCTTTGCACACTCACCGCTTCCTATGAGGTTTCCACTAACTATGTCACGTAGAGACCAACCGCACAGAAATCACATGGAAGCATAATGTGCCCTCCCATCAGAATAGCAGTCTTATATACTGCCCTATATCACGCGTGATAATGAGGCATTCCTCCCTGCGGTTCATTTTCGGATTTCTGGAATTAATCCAGAATGCCTCGAGAGTTTTCGCGCCTGTGTTCTTGATTCACGTGCGAGTGGTTCAATGTGTGTTCAAAAGCTGTGTTCAATGTGATTGAAACCTTGGTTTAGAGTTTCTTTGTTTGGCTATGGAGGCGTCTGGCCGAGTAGATTGCTATCAACTTGACCTTTCCAGGCTCTGAGGAAGGTGAAGTTCCCCGAAACGTCAGCTTATTCGTGAATAAAGAATAATAACACCTCGCGTTTGCTCAACAAAAATACGAAGAGTTACTTAATCAATACCGAGGTTAATAGAAAGTCAGTCGTGGGAGTTATCTTTTTACTTACTTACTTGACACTTGAATGGCCCGTCCTCACTGGTTGTGAGCGCTTCAGCATAATTTCCATTTTTTCGGAGTTCTTCTGGCTTAGCCGTTGCAGTTCTCTGGAGCGCCGAGGTCAGCATAGCGAAAGTCTGTCCCAGGTCGTTACCGCCACAGGTTGTCACCGCCTTTGTGTATCCGAGGGAGATTCGCCACTATACGGCTAGTTTGATAGCAGGACAGTGGGGGATCGTGGTATTGGTTTATTCTTAGATTGGCATCCTGATCAAAACACCGGGCCCCTTCCTAGTTTGAAAGGTCCTGCTGTGAAAATGAATACCTCGCTGAAAAAGAATGGCAGCCCAACACCCAGAAACATCTTCCAGCCACGATAAGGCGGTAAACCGTTGTGAGGGTAAAATTATAGTAGACAGAAAATAAAAGGTTAACACTATGAATCAAGACGATGCCTGACAAGGTATGTGGACCTAATGCAGCAGTGTGTTGGGCTAATCGTTCTGTGAACGTATTGCCGTACAATTACTATTACTGCTGCCCTTTCCGGGGGCTAACTCATCTGGAGTTTTGCAAATATCTCAGGATCATTGTGGTAGCACCACAGTGCTTATTATTATTATTTGTTTGTTTGTTTATTGATTGTTCATCAATCTTTTTGTCTTGCTACTACAATATTTATCCTATTTATCACAATTTTGTTCCTCAGGTGGTTCCACTGTTGTTCATGGCAGCGTTCAGTATGCTTTTGGCGCTTCTGATTCGTGGTTGTACTATGGATGGGTTAATGGCGATATTTAATGTCTATCTCAATGCAACAGACTGGAACAAGCTCGCTGACTATAAAGTATGCTTCTCCCTATCCAAAGTCTTTCTTGAAGAAATTTTGTTTATTTTTGTTCAAAGGGCAACGCATTAGAAAAATTGAACCCGTCGGTGTTCCCTCATTTAGGTTCTTTTGCTCGACATCCGTAATACCGCACTCTTTTAATAGTTACTTCAGTTGTGGAAAGTTGCATGCGAACAAGCTATTCTTGCCAGTGGAATCGGTTATGGTGCATTCATTACAATGGGCTCGTACAATCGGCGATCCAACAATCTTGTCGCGTCAGTACTTCTGTTGTTTTTTCGCTATAGATTTATTTGTTTTAAATCAAAAGTTGGCATGGCAGAAGGTCGATTTTTAAGTGTGGTACATCGTTTCCTATTGACGACAATACCGTCTTTTTATAATTAATTTTTTAATAAACTTTTATGGTTAAGATGCTTGAGAGCCTGAAGACTTGAGACACATATAGAAGAGGCTCTTAGCATTTCACCCTCTATGGGTGCATATGGGGCTCGTGTGGCGCAGTGGTCGTAGATACCCTGCAACACACACGTGGAATCGATCTCTGCGCCCATGACCCGCCAAGTCTTCCATCCCTTCAGGGTCGGTAAATTGGTACCAGTTTTGTCTATGATGATAGCAGCACTGGCTGGACACATCAGTAGGCCACCGCGAGTCATTGTAAAGGCCAGATATGCATTCAATCACCTCCACCGTTGCTTAATGAATTGGAATGTGTGGTGCATCCCTTAGGGATTGATGAACGCCGCGAGCTTTTAAAGCTTTTAGCTTTATGAATGCATATAAATTTTTGGAAATATTATTTTCATTTCGGATTCGCTCAGACCTTCAAAAAGATTCGGAAGCATTCAGTGCTTCAAGTCCTTTCAATAGAAGCACGATTACTGATTCGTAGGCAACACATTTCGGAAGGTCATATTGCCTGTTCGGCCACTTCTCTATTTAAAAAAAATGCGAACCTTGACGGAAACAAGCGGGTTAGAGTGGCTTTGTGGGTTCCAGAAAATTAGAACTTCATTTTGATATAAGAGATTCTAATTGTTTTTATTCTACTTAATGAATTTCATCGTGAAGTGAGATACTTGATGCTTGAACGGCTCGTCCTCACTGGTTGTGCGGGCCTGGCATAATCACCATTTTTCGGAGATTCGCTGGCTAAGCTATTGTGGTTCCTTGGAATCCCGAGGTCAGCCTGGCCAAAGTCCATCCCAGGTCTTCACCACCACAGGCAGTCGCAGCCCTTGTGGATCAGAGGGAGATTGGTCATCATGAGAGCTTGATACCAGGATGGTGGTGGATTCTAAGATTGGTTTACTCTTAGCTAGGCTTCCTGATGGAAACGCCGGACTCCTTCTCAGCAACCCAGCAGAGGGGACGAATCCCTCCGCTGTACCGCAGTCTGACACCCAGGAATACCTCCCTCAGCCACGATGGGGCGGGCGGTATACCGTTGGGAGGAAGTGAAATATAGTCGTCCAAAGTCTCAAATAGCCATTTCTTGCATCCTGTATGCATTGGCTTCGATGTACTTAATCATTTGTGCTATTTGCTTTCATCCCGAATGAAGGTGTTTGGTGACGGCTAAGATATGTTTGCTTAAATTTTAAAGACTAGATTATAATCTTTTCGACGACGTTTGATTCATATATTGCTCAATTCGTCTCGAAAATGTTGACCATTTTTTGCAATGCATCCTTCGACCGAATACTGACATGTTTTCGAGAATATTCGGTAATTCGAGAAAGCTTAGACTTTCGTTTAACCTCTGCAGTAATGAAGAAGTTATTTCGTTTTTGCGAAGTGTAGCTGATGAGCTGCAATGAGGTTGTTGACACGTGTTTTTGGTTTTTGATAACTATCATTTCGATACTTCTCATTGTAGCTGGGCGGTGTTCCTGGGTGTCGGATTACGATGTACAGCGGAGGTTCATCCCCCTATCCGGGTCTCCCAAGCTGAGAATGACTCCGGCGTTTCCATCAGGAAACCCAGCTAAGTGTAAACCAATACCAGGGTTCATCCCGTTGTGGGATCGAAGTAGTCGCATGGTGGCAGATCTCCCTCTGATCCACAATGGCAGCGACTGCCTGTGGTGGTGACGACTTGGGGCAGACCGTTGCCAGGGAACCACAATGGCGGAACCAGCAAATATCCGGAGTAAGGGAATCGTGCTGACGCCTGCACAACTAGAGAAGATGGGCTATTGAAATATCAAGTATCTTGTATCAACATTTCAGTGACTTCACCTCGTTCAGAGTCGTTTTTAATTCCAGAGAAGTGTCACCAGCCTTTCACAAAGTATCACGTGCAAATTATAGTGATTAATGATAATAATAAATGGCGCTTTACAATCCTATGCGAGAGGTATGTGAGTGATCCTTTGGAAGCGAAATTGGCTCTGAACAAGGCGATCTCACGGAAAGGTTAGGCACTGAGACCGAGAAGACAAAAGAAGTTGTTAGTAACCGAGTGTCAGCTCATTAAAGACAGTTTATAGGAGCAAAGCATTTAACCAGTTCTTGAACTACTGTTTTTTCATTTATGAAAGCGAGTACAGGTTTGTTATTATAGAGATTCGATATCTGTTGTTACTAGCCATATTGTACTGACGTTGATGCAATTCGTTACCGTAGTTGGCTTAGTTGGATTCATCGTGTCCAAGACGGGTTTGGCGTCGTCTGATATCATGGACAAAGGTAGTCCACAACAGTCCTGATTCTGATTGGTTTTTTCTCTATTTTCTTCTGCCGAGGTTCTCTATTTATTAATGGAAAGGTAATTCCAGGTGAAGCACAAATGTGGCACATTTTAACTTACTTCTCTTATCTTCCGAATATGAAACTATGGAGTGGATTGCTACTTTTCGCATCGATATGTATTCTAATCAATATATTTGTAAGTTTACACTATTTTTAGGGGCGGATAGCACAGTAGTAGTGATGCACTTCATCACGAGCATGATGCTAGTTCGATTCCGCTCCGAGCCAGCCAAACCTCTGCTCCCTTCGGAATTGGGAAATTGGTATCGAACTTGTCTGGGAAAAAATCTCTCTCTGTAATCCAACTGGGAACCCCGAGTCCAGTTATCACACGACTCCAAGGAGAATTGCTCCACAAGTATTCCAGTATTCAAAATGAAGTGAAAATCCTCAAGCAGCAACCGAAGCCACACGTAAAGTTGAAAGATATTCGTGGACAATGGATGCGAGGAAACGTATTGAATGTGAGAAGTGCTGGAATCCGCATGTTAGACATGAAAACGGGTCAAAAAAAAAAATCATACTACTTTTTGCCATTTTGAAAAGGCAAGAGTATTGTAATAGTCTCTAACTACGGTAGCGACGAGAGATGAACATCGTATGATTTCCGGTTATTTTTTTTAGATAGAAAACTAGCTGAGAGAAATACAGAGTGAGGGCCTCGGTGGCGCAGTGTGTAATGCGCGAACCCCTGGAAATGGAAGTCGTCGTTCGATCTGGCCCGGAGTCGAAGTTTTGCGAATATCTCAGTATCATTGTGGTTGTAATTCACATCATACGCTGCCGTTAAAATTGTCGTGAGCAGTAAATAACTAAGGCACTGCGATCCTATGGTTTTTAACCGCAACAAAAAAAAAATTAAATATGTCATTAAACGGAAGCTGAGTGATTTTTGTATCACTTCAGCAAAACTTCTCTTTGTTATAAACAATTGCTCGTATTAAGTGAGAAATAGTTTAAAAAACGGCATTTAATGTCGACTTTCTGTTAACCTCAGTATTGGATTATAAATGTACCGTTTTCTTTTTCAGCAATCGGAAGGTTGTTATACAGCACGAATTCTACTTCCGTAAAAAAAAACATATAGAACAAGGGTAGCTGACGTTTCGACAGTAGCGCCTTCTTCAAGATGACGTTTCGACAGTAGCGCCTTCTTCAAGATGACGTTTCGACAGTAGCGCCTTCTTCAAGATGACGTTTCGGCAGTAGCGCCTTCTTCAAGATGACGTTTCGGCAGTAGCGCCTTCTTCAAGATGACGTTTCGGCAGTAGCGCCTTCTTCAAGATGACGTTTCGGCAGTAGCGCCTTCTTCAAGATGACGTTTCGGCAGTAGCGCCTTCTTCAAGATGACGTTTCGGCAGTAGCGCCTTCTTCAAGATGACGTTTCGGCAGTAGCGCCTTCTTCAAGATGACGTTTCGGCAGTAGCGCCTTCTTCAAGATGACGTTTCGGCAGTAGCGCCTTCTTCAAGATGACGTTTC